TTATAGATTTTGGATACTAACCCTTTATCTGATATGTCATTTGCAAATATCTTCCCCCATTCTGTCGGTTGCCTTTTAGTTTTGCTGATTGTTTCCTTCGCAGTACAGAAGCTTTTTATTTTGATGAGGTCCCAGTAGTTCATTTTTGCTTTTGTTTCCCTTGCCTCTGGAGATGTGTTGAGTAAGAAAGAAGTTGCTGTGGCCAAGATCAAAGAGGTTTTTGCCTGCTCTCTCCTCGAGGATTTTGATGGCTTCCTGTCTTACATTGAGGTCTTTCATCCACTTTGAGTTTATTTTTGTGTATGGTGTAAGAAAGTGGTCCAGGTTCATTCTTCTGCATGTCGTTATCCAGTTTTCCCAGCACCATTTGCTGAGGAGGCTGTCTTTATTCCATTGGATATTCTTTCCTGCTTTGTCAAAGATTAGTTGGCCATACGTTTGTGTGTCCATTTCTGGGTTCTCTATTCTGTTCCGTTGATCTGAGTGTCTGTTCTTGTGCCATAATGCCCATTTTTAAATCAGAGTTTTTTTGTGTTTTTTGCTACTGAGTTGTTTGAGTTCCTTATATATTTTGGTTATTAACCCCTTATCAAATATTTGATTTGTGCATAATTTCTTCCATTCTGTAGGTTGCCTTTTCATTTTGTTGAATCTTTTTTTCCTTTTTCGCTGTGCAGAAGTTTTTAAGTTTGATATAGTCCACTTGTTTATTTTTTGCTTTGTAGCTTGTGCTTTCATCGTTATATCCAGAAAATCATTGCCAAGAACAGTGTCAAGGAGCCTTGCCCTTATGTTTTATTCTAGGAGTTTTGTGGTTTCAGGTCTTACATTTAAATCTTTCCATTGGAGTTAATATTTGTGAGGGGCCCACTTTCATTCTTTTGGATGTGAATACACAGTTTTCCCAGCACCATTTATTGAAAAGACCATCTCTTCCCCATTGAGTATTCTTGGCTCCTTTGTCACCATGGTCCTCTGTGGTTCCATATGAATTTTAGGATTGTTTTCTATTTCTAAATGCCACTGGAATTTTGACAGCAATAGACGGCACCTATAGATGGCTTTGGATAATATGGATGCTTTAACAATGTTAATTATTCCAATCCACGAACACAGGATATCTTTCTATTTATTTGTGTCTTTAGTTTCTTTGATCAGCATCTTATATTTTCAGTGCACAGATTTTTTTTTTTAATTTTTCAGTGTTTATTTTACTTTTGAAAGAGAGCAAGAGACCACAAGCAGGGGAAGGGCATAGAGAGGGGGACAGAGGAGCCAAAGCAAGCTCCGTGCTGACAGCAGAGGAGCCTGATGTGGGGCTTGAACTTACGAACCATGAGATCGTGATCTGAGCCGAAGTTGGGTGCTTAACTGAGTGAGCCACCCAGCTGCCCCTCAGTGTACATATTTTCTAATTCCTTGGTTCAGTTTATTCCTCAGTATTTTATTATTTTTGATGCTGTTGTGAATGGGATTGTTTTATTTATTGTTTTTTCAGATACCTTATTGTTGATGCATAAAAACATAACAGATTTTCATGTATTAATTTTGTTTCCTGTAACTTTACTGCATTCATTTATTCTAATAGTTTTTTTTTTTTTTTTTGGTGGAGTCTTTAGGGTTTTCTATATATAATATCATGTCATCTGTAAATAGTGATAGATTTTACTTCTTTCTTTCTGATTTGGATGCCTTTTATTTCTTTTTCTTGCCTAATTGCACTGGCTAGGACTTCCAGTACTGTGTTGAATAGGAATAGTGAGAGTAGGCACTCTTGTTTCTGATCTTATAGGAAAAACTTTCAACCTTATACCACTGAGTATGTTAGCTGTGAGTTTGTCATATATGGCCTGTAGTATGTTGAGGTATTTCCTTCTACACTTAATTTGTTGAGAGTTTTTATCATTAATGGATATTGAGTTTTGTCATATACTTTACCTACATCTTTTGAGATGATCATATGATTTTTATCTTTCATTTTTTTATGTGATATATCACACTTACTGATTTGCATATGTTGAACCATCCTTGTATCTCAAGGATGAATCCCACTTGATCACGGTGCATGATCTTTTAAAAAAAAATTTTTTTTTAGTGTTTGTTTATTTTTGAGAGAGAGACAGAGAGAGAGAGAGAGACAGAGCATGAGCCTGAGCATGAGCAGGGGAGGGGCAGAGAGAGAGAGGGAGACACAGAATCTGAAGCAGACTCCAGGCTCCAAGCTGTCAGCACAGAGCCTGATGTGGGGCTCAAACTCATGAAATGTGAGATAATGACCTGAGCCAAAATCAGTCTCTTAACTGACTGAGCCACCCAGGTGCCCTGGTGCATTATCTTTTTAATGTGCTGCTGCATTTGGTTTGCTAGAAATATATTTTGTTGAGAATTTTTACATCTAATTCATCAGAGATAGTGGCCTGTAGTTTTCTTTCTTTCTGTTCTTTCTTTCTTTCTTTCTTTTTTTCTTTTCTTTTCTTTCTTTCTTTCTTTCTTTCTTTCTTTCTTTCTTTCTTTCTTTCTTTCTTTCTTTCTTTCCTTTCTTTCTTTCTTTCTTTCTTTCTTTCTTTCTTTCTTTCCTTCTTTCCTTCTTTCTTTCTTTCTTTCTTTCTTTCTTTCTTTCTTTCTTTCTTTCTTTCTTTCTTTCTTTCTTTCTTTCTTTCTTAGTACCCTTATTGGAGTTTGGTATCAGGGTATTACTGGTCTCATAAAATGAGTTTGGGAATGTTCCCTTCTCTTTATTGTTTTGGAAAATTTTGAGAAGGATTAGCATTAATAGTTCAAATGTTTGGTGGGATTCGTCAGTGAAACCATCTGGTCCTGGGCTTTTTTTGTTGGGAAGTTTTTGATTACTGATTCAATCTTCTCAGTCCTTATTGGTCTGTTCACATTTTCTGTTTCTTTGTGATTCAGTCTCAGTAGGTCATGTGTGTTTATCCATTGCTTCTAGGTTATCCAATTTGTTGGTGTATAATTTATGGTATTCTCTTATGATCCTTTGTATTTCTGTTATCTATTGCAGTGTCTCCTATTTTATTTATAACTTTCATTTAAGTCCTTTTGTTTGTTAGTCTCACTGAAGATTTGTCAATTTTATCTTTTTAGAGCCAACTCATAGTTTTGTTCACTTTTCCTATTCTCTGTTTTATTTATTTCTGTTCTAAACTTTATTATTTTCTACTTTCTGGTAACTTTGGGCTTAGGTGTTGTCTTTTTCCTTCCTTCCTTCCCTCCTTCCTTCCAGTTCCTGGAGGTGTAAAGCTAATTTTTATTTGAGATCTTTCTTTTTTCTTGATGTATGCGTTTATAGCTATAAACTTTCCTCTTAAACTGCTTTTCCTGTATCCCATAAGTTTGTGGTATGTTGTGTTTCTTTCATTTGTCTCAAGATACTTTTTAAATTTCCCTTTTGATTTCTTCTTTGGTCTATTGGTGTTTTCAGGAGTGTGCTGTTTAATTTCCCTGTATTTGTGAAATTTCCAGCTTTTCTCCTATTATGGATTAGTTTCATACCATTGGGGTCAGAATAGATACTTGATATCATTTCTGTCTTCTTGAATTTGTTGAGACTTGTTTTGTGGCCCAACATATGGTATCCTAGAAAATGTTCCACGTGTGCTTGAGAAGAATGTGTATTCACTTCTATTGATACTGGATGGAATGCTCTGTAAATGCCTGTTAGGTTCCTTTAGTCTATAGTGTTGCTCAAATCTGCTATTTCCTTATGATTCTCTGTCTGGATGATCTATCTATCACTGAGAGTGGGATGTTAAAGAATTTGTGAGATTTATCATCTTGAGAGCAGTGGTCCTCAAGTGAGGGTGATTTTGCTGCCCCCATCCCCTGTCATGTAGGGTACAGTTGGCAATGTCTGGTGACATTTTTGTTTGTCACCACTAGTGTGGGAGGGTATGGTTACTGGTACTGGCATCTAGTGAGTGGAGGACAGTGATGCTGCTGAATATCCTGCAATACTTGGGATAGCCCCCCACTGAACCAAAATGGCAGTAGAGAAGATTGAGAAACCTCGTACCAAAAAAAAGAGAGAATCCTGATAAGATTCAAGATGAGATTGGATAGAACCAGTAATAGTTTCTGGGAACCAGGGGTGTACGTAACGGTTACGATTCACGTGGGGAGGACATTAGTGTTCTCCTATGATGTGCTGGAGCTGGTTGGTAGCAATTCTAGACTGGCTGGACTTGGCAGCCTTGCGTTCTCTGTATCCAACTTGCCCATGTGTCTCAGAGCAGACTCTGAGCAAGATGAAGCACATTTGTTATTCCGTACAGAGTAACTTTCGTTTTAACCGTCCACCTTCCCATCAAGACAGCCTCGTGGGGATTGTGGGATCCAGAATGGTGTAACGAGCTCAGTATGAGGACTGGAATGAATCCTGAATACCACAGTCAAGATGGAGTGCCCTGAGAAAGGGTATCTGGAAACATGAGCTTTGAAAATGCTAATGGTTTCTGTTATCTTTCAGATGGTAAACGTGTCAAGGCTAGAGGGAGATGACAATCCCGTGCAGCTCATCTACTTTGTGGAGGATCAAGATGGAGAAAGACTCAGTGCAGTCAAGTCTTCAGATCTGATTAACAAGATAGATATCCAGAGAGCAGCCATTATCTTGGGTTACCGAATTCAAGGTGCTGTTGCCCAACGTAAGTACATGAGGCATAGACCCTAAGTATTGTCAAGTATTGTCAAGCTGTGCTGTGGTCAAAAGCCAGTCTGTTTTCTGACAACGAAATCTGAATTTAAAGCACTCTTATGTGCACAGAGTAGATTTCTGTCTTAAACCCTTATTACAGGACACTCGAGTAAGATGTCAGTTGTGCAAATTCACTCGACAAGTCCTTCTTTGTTTATTTTGTTGATTTAGCCTTCACTGCTGTTTTTCTTACCTGGCATTTTGTATCCCAAGTGTTAGAGTGAGTTCTCATAGCTTAAGTTAACTGTAATATTTTTTCCCCTGCTCCTGTACTATTTTTCTTTTAAAAATTTTGTCTTCGGTAAAATAACTTGCTTTCTCTGTATTTATTCCAAAATCTTGTCTGTCGTATTTTGAACGTTGGTGGGGACAGTTAGTCACACAGGAAGCTGGGAGGTGCCCTCTGCATTTACTGGCTTCCTTCTGAGTTTTTTAACACAAAGAAGTCCTTGATCCATTCCCTTTTCATTGCTATTTCTCTCCCTCCCCATCCTCACAGTACTTCACAATTTAGAAAGAGGTATTTTGATATTTCTGTATTATTGTTGGAAGATACTTGGCCCCCTGGCAGTGATTGCTCTCGGTGCCTTATTTTTCAGCTCCCAGATTTTGGGTATTTAAAATGAAGGAGAAGGAGGGGCGTGGAAGAGCGTATTTCTCTAAATGTTCCCTTATGAATCAGGCTGCTATTTTAATGTGGATGTTCTTGCATTATGAGCCAGAGAGCAATCCTTGTAGGGAGCTTGGTGATATTTTCTCCCAAGGGTAAGGGGATAAGTAAGTGTTGAGAAGTAATTGAGCATCAGAGACTCTTGAAAAGGTCTTTGTAGGGAACACAGAGGAGGCAAAGGCACTTTTGAAAAATGACAGCTTCACGGTTATCCTTAATAATGGAAGATTCTTTGTGAAATCTGTACTTGTCCCTGGAAACTAAGCAGGACGAGGACTCCCGGGCACATTTTGCCTGATTCATAGATGACAGTGGAGAGAGTTTAAGCAAATAGCTGTTGGTGGTTTGTGTTTGTGTATTTCAGATATGGTTGCATGTTAGTATGTTCTGTTTCAGAGCAGTGAGAAAAAAAAGTAAACAAAGCTCTTAGTTTTCTTCATCTAGGACGTTTTGTATTTTATTTTATTTTATTTTATTTTATTTTATTTTATTTTATTTTATTTTATTTTATTTTATTTATTTTATTTATTTTATTTATTTTATTTTATTTTATTTTATTTTATTTTATTTTATTTTATTTTATTTTATTTTATATTTTATGAAAAATAATTTAAGTTTATTTATCCATCCTGAGAGAGAGAGAGAGAGGCAGGCAGGCAGAGAGAGAATCTCAAGCAGGCTCTGTGCTCACAGCATTCCAGCTAAGCACTTCACTTTTGAAAAAAGATCGATGGTGATATGGTACGGGCACCTTTCCCACTACTTCCATTTGCTCTTTGCACATCTCTTTCCTCAGTTTCTTGCTAAAATCCACAAGGTAAGGATCCTAGGATTGGAAGCCTCAGCCAACGTCAGGCCCTAGGGCAGCCATAGACCCTGGTATGAGGGCCTCATTTGGTGAATTCGTGCCTCCCCCAGGGTGTTACTAGGTGAGATCCAAGGAGAGGATCTACTTGTCCCAGCTCCTCAGTTTGATTCTGTCACTCTTTCCGTATGGTCAGTTGTTTTCATGCAAAATGAGTCACATATATAGACTATATTCAGGTCAAATTCAAAAATAAGATTAACACTTTGTCCTCTTTTTCATTTCCTGCATAGCCTGTGCTCTCTCATTTGTGCTTTCTGCATAGTGCATGTGCTTCAGAGGGCTCGCTCCCTTCCCTTGTCACTCTCTCAGGGCCTAAACCCACACTTAAGCCGGCACCGGGAATGTTTGTGTTGTTACATCTTTGCGCAGAAACATTTTGATCCCATAGCACATGTTAATCATTATAGGATATGAAAAAAGCGTAAGACTTAGCCCCTGCCTGTGGAGACTGAAATGTATTGCAAGAGACAAGACTTAGAGTCATGACCATATTAATGAGTGGAGTGGCGCCGTATATCAAGATAACACATTTATGTAATAAAATGCATTTTAAAATATAGTAAGGTACCGATTGCAAGGCCAAAGTAACCAGAGTAAAATAACTTAGAAAGGGAGGAAACTACTATTGTCATGGAGAGGTCTTTGGGAAGTGATCACAACGGATGAGGAGGTTGGGCAGAGGGGAGGGGTTTGGGTTGTCGGGTGATTGGAACCTGAGCTTTAAGTGGAGCTGAGACCTTTGAGAGGATGGGTGCAGAATGAAGAGTTCAAGAGCCCTGGATCAGGAGACAAGGTTAGGGAAAGGAGCTGGTGAAGGAATTGAAGGCAGAGGGGTTGAAGCCTATCCCTCCAAGATCACGTCAGATGGGAGGCTTGGCAGTGGTTGGGGTGGTCAGGAGGATGGGGAGTGGCAGATTTGGAATAAGTAAGTGGGATTTCACATAATTTAAAAATTGACATCTGGTACCTCAAATCTTGCTTTAGGGGTTTAGAGGGAGAAGCAGGTGAGGAAATTAAGGCGATGCTCACAGATTACTTGTTGGGGTTTCTGGTTTTTAGTATGGAAGCATTCCTGGAGTGAGGTTACAATGGAGCTGGTGGAACACACTGGAAGTCAGGAGACCTGGAATTAACCTAGCTCTGCCATCAGATGAGCCATGTTCCTTTAGACACGTCACCTATGTCACCATGGTCGCTAATGCATTGAGGACGTAAGAGTCTGTGTTGTGTTTGTTTACTGAGTCATGTTTCTAGCCATCAGGAGATCACAGCCTCCAACTACTTGTTTTGACCTGAAACGACAAGGACTCTCCAGGTTTCTCACAGAAGAAGGCATGTTCTTCGTGTTCCTCACAGAAGGGCTGTCCAGTAAACGAGTGCAGAAGAATTAGCGAATGACCTGTCTTCTTTGTCTGCAGCCTTGGACAGAGTGAAGAGGCCGTCCCCAGAGTCCCAGAGCAGCAACCTCTGGGTCATTGTCGGTGTGGTCATTCCAGTGCTCGTGGTGACAGTGATTGTCATCATCCTCTACTGGAAACTGTGCCGCACAGACAAGTTGGACTTCCAGCCTGACACGGTGGCCAACATCCAGCAGCGTCAGAAGGTAAGGGGCGTAACTGCCCCGTGTTCACATAGGCCGTCTTACGGGCTGGGGTAGGCTGAGTTCAGGCTCTTGATACTGAAAGACAGGAGAGGGAGCTAGTAGGGACATTTTGTGGCTTTAACGGTGGTATCCCTTTGCCTCATATTTGCTTACTGGAACCTGTTTCTTCTTAGAATTAAATATGTGCCAAGAAGATTAAGCTGTATCAAGGCTTAGGAATGTTATAAGCTCCCAGGTTGTGTGATTTTATTTATGAGATGATCATATCCATTTTTGTATGAATTCTGATCTATTTTAACCCTGGATAGCTTCAGAGAACAGGAGCTAAGGGAGGTTTTCTCAGATCTGTATCTCAATTTCGTTCATACATGGCCTCACTAGACGGTTGGTTTATTTTCCATGCACCATATTGGAAGTCCACTATCCACCTTGATTAAGATCATGTAATCATTAAAAAATAATACTGCATGCCTTAAACATTTTAAATATACAAGTGGGTTCTTACTTGCCAATCTTTTGATATACTCTGAATCTTTTTTTCTTTTGTATTTTATTTTTGGGATTGTTGGTTTACTGAGAAGATTCTGTGTGGTTTTTCTTGTAAGAAATAACACCTCTAATGCATCAGCTGCTGTTTCCAGCTTGGGTTTCTTTAGAGAAGAGCAAGCAACCTGAGTGCAGAATTCTCTAGATTATTTTTTTTCAACACCCACTCCAAGTCTGCCATCTTTTAGAGTTAATTCACCTACCCCTAATTTGACAGCAGTGTTTTTAAAACATCTTTTTCATGTCATTCCAAAGCACTCAATTTAGTTTTTATAATAATAGCAGTTCTCACATTTATGTTTGAGTGGTTCCTGCAGTGTTTGTCACATAGCAGTTTCAGAGCAAAGATATTGACTCTTAGTAAGTGTCTAGTTTTGGTTGATCTTTTCTGAGCAAAAACATGCCAAGTACCCAAGAAGAAGTCAGTAGCTGCACACGTCTAGCCCACCGTGCCAATTAGCCATTGCCAAGGGAATGGAAAATGGTAGTCCATCTACTGTGTTTATGAATGTACACCCTCTGTGGGTCTCACACATTTAGAGGGCTCATTTGACTCTAGAAGTTTGATTAAAAAAAGCAAGCAAGAGGCAGAACAAGAAGAAATAAAGGGCTGCCTATTAGTTAGCCTTTGAAATTTATTCTGTTTGGCTGTAAGAAACGCTGCCCATTACAAACCTATACCTGCTGAAAGAAAAAAAATAAGTATTTTTTTTTCTTATGAATTAACTAAAATGCAAAGCTGTGACTAAGTTGGAAGCTTATGATTATCAAATGTATTGGAAGCGTTTAAAAAAATTTTTTTTAACATTTATTTATTTTTGAGACAGAGAGAGAGAGAGAGCATGAACAGGGTAGGGTCAGAGAAAGAGGGAGACACAGAATCTGAAACAGGCTCCAGACTCTGAGCGGTCAACACAGAGCCTGACGCGGGGCTCGAACCCACGGACCGCGAGATCATGACCTGAGCCGAAGTCGGACGCTTAACCGACTGAGCCACCCAGGCACACAAATGTATTGGAAGCATTTTATACACTAAGGTTCTATTTATTACCTGTCTTCATTTATTATTTACATAGTGTGCTAAGGTTGTTTTGTTGTTAGGCAAGGTAGTGGCATGAAAAAAACCTGGAAAAAATGCTTGATGTGCTGAATCATTCATTGCGTGAATTCATTGTGCTAAGATCAACAGTACGTTTGGAAATGTTTTTGTTCCGGTGAAAAGAGTAATGTTACAGAGAGATTTACCCAGTATAGATGGGTATGTCGTCAGGTCTTTCATGTTCCATGTTGCCCAACATAAACACTCCCCATGGAAGCCCATCTGTCATCTGTTCCTTCATTCAACTGTCAGAGGACAACATCCCTTGAGTTCAAAACAGGATATTCCCCAAGTTTTCTCCTTCTCCTACTTTTACTTCCGAAATATTTTCGTGCCCCAGATGTTGCTATAAATCAAATGGACAGAGTTTCAAATAGAACCTCCAGCCCTCGGAGTTGCCCTTTATGGCATGTTTGTAGGAAGGTCTCCTGCGTGGAGGGGGCCCCTGAGGGAGTAAGTGTCTTCTGACACTGGAAGGGGGGCCAAAGCCCCGTGACATTTCAGAAGCGTGGTCTTTGTTTTGCTGGCATAGGAACCCGCTATATAGGTCTTGTCTCGTGTTTATGATAGGAAAAGGATGATCTGTGTTTAGTTTAGAAACAAATATCTCTACTTTACAACTGTTTCTTCTAAGATTTACGTGGCAGTAGTGAGGGGCCTCTAGCCCATCCCTTGGGGCAGTTTGAAAAGATGCCAGCTTCTCCTGTGACTTCAAGAGTTCTTTCTCCTTCTTGTGCTCACCCTGCCCCCCCCCCCCCCGATGTTGCTGCACTGCTACTCCCCTAGATCCCCCGAGCAAATCTCAGAGCTACAAACATCTGGAAACAATAAATGTGCTGACCAAGAGTCCACACCCACTACCCCTTGTAATGAGCAGGAAACCTCTTCAGATTGGGAGTGGATTCGTTTTGACATATGATAAGAGGGAGAGACCATTCTGTCACATTTGGAGACAGGGTCTTTTTTTATTTCCACTAATTAAAAAAAACAAACCTAACGCATATCTTTCTTTTATCTGTAGTCTCTTTAATCTGTAGCCCAAAGCCATCACTTTTTACTAGTATCAGAAAAACTGCAGCTTGGACCCACCTCGCCCTGTTTGAGGCTCTATTTAGAGACATGGATGGCATTGGCTAGATGCTGCTGATCCCACGGAAGCTTGTTCCTTCTGATGGGGTAGTCCATACTCTGTTGTTGGCGTGGGACCATGGTTCCTGACCTGTGGGCACTGTGGGCAGCCAGAGGGAGCTGCTTCAGTCACTGCTTATCCGGTCACCCAACACCCAGCCTTTGCTCTGAGCCAAGCAGGGCCAGGCTGGGTCACAAGTCCAGATGACATGCAATCCCTGCCTTCGAGGCCTTTAGTAAGAGAGGACAAGTGACCCAGACACTGACACATTGCAGCCTAAGTCTGTCCAGGCTGCCACAGAAGCAGGGAGGAGGGGCAGCTACCCCATTGGGCAGTGGGCTGCCTCTGCCCTCTGGGAAGGGGTGATGCTGGGGCTGAAGCTCAGAGGTTGAAGAGATGAACCAGATGAAGTGGGCTCAGGTGGAGGGAATGGTCTATCTGTCAGGAACGATGGAGCAAAGGTTTATGGAAGGGCACAGGAAAAACTGAGGGGACGGTAGGCAAGAGCCAGGCTGGGAGGGGTTGTAGGACAGATCAGGGGTTGGCAGTGGTGCTCTAGGTAGTGAGGAGCCAATGATGGATTTTCAGCAGGGAGAGCAGCTTGAACATATTCATGCCGGGAACGACCACTGTGGAAGGCTGTGTGGACAGCTGATGGAAGAGAGAAGCTTCATGGGCATTTCTTCCATCTCAGCCAAATTCCTCTCATCCCCTGCGGTTGCTCTTTGATTCTCTGCACGGACCCCGTAGCACCTAGTTTGTGGGGAGTTCAGTTCCCCCACTGTCACTTGGCTGCTACCTCCAAGATCGCAGGGTGACCAGAGGTCCCAGGGCTGCAGCAGGGACAGACGGTAGTAACGTCTCCTTGTCCTCGCCTTCTGAATGGAATCAGCATGGCGACCGTGGTGACTTTTCACAGATCACATCCACCAAATAAGAAATGCATAGACAGTGCTGCGGTCTGCGAGACTGCAAATTTTTATTCAGGCACGTTTGGGGTTTGCTCTGTGGTTTCTATTGTCATCTTAACTGCTCCTTCCCAGGGGTTCAGGCTAACCGGAGAGCTGGGGATTCGCTCCGTCTTGTTCCACCCAGGTCGTATTATATTTATGGCTCATGCATTTTAAAATTCATCAGGCATCTCTCCTATTCTTTGGCTGACCTGCTTTACCAGCCCTCTCTGACTCGTCGGCGACGTATTCCAGTGGGGCACGGACAATGGGGACTGCCCCCTCTGTGACATATTAAAGAGGGATGGAACAAAAGAGAGCCATCTTTCCTCAGAAATAATGGGTCCTTAGAGAAATATTGAAGGCCCTAATTAATTGTGGCTCTTTTATAAAATACTGATTGAAGCTTATTCTGCATGGGGAAGCCGGAGACACAATACAGCCAGACTGAACTCTAGATTTTTTGTTTGTTTGTTTGTTTTTAAGAAATGGAAAAACTAGAAAAAAGCATTCTGGGAAGTAGGGATAAAACAAAAGGAGCTAATTGCATAAGTGGGCAAGTTTTCCTCTAATTTCTTCCTTTTGTGTGTTCTAAGGTAGCTTTTGTTTTGTGCAGAAGCACAGGTTAGTTGCCAAATTTCTATTGTTGAAGGTGGTGACTCACCCTGCTTGTAAGTAGTGCAAGATCTAATGGATATATTCGAAGATGTTGGTGGGAATCAACAGTGAGCCGGCAGGGCCTTTCCTTGGTTCCCCACAAGATCCAGTAAGTTTGGAGCTCCAAATGACTTTTTAAAATTCATTTAGTTATCAAATATTTATGGAGGGTCTACCCTGTCATATCTTGGTGCTGAATTAGAAAATTTTGTGTCTAACTTTATAGCTTTTATCTGACGCCTGAGAACACTTAGCAATTTCTGTTAACTGCTTGACATTTCATCAGCCAATAGCAACAGCGATGTTGTCAATTGCACCTGGATGGTACTTAGACATTTTATGAAGCATTTCGACATATACGTGTGTTTGTTTCTTGCACGAACTCTGAGAGTTTGTCAGGGTAGGTGACCAGTATCAATCCCTAGACTTGGGGTACACAGACTGGACCACAGAGGCAGTGCGGTTTGTATTTTTTCCTTTATTCACTTTGGAGACCTTTACTTGGAGGAGGCAGTCTGTGGCTCCTCCTTCAGTTTTTCTAAAGCTGACCGTCTACCTTGCAAAAGTGATTGTTTCCTGGTCATTAGAGGCATTTACTTTCTTACTGGGAAGTGCACTAAAGAAGATTTTACCAAGATTTACTAAATGGTGTTGACGGGGTTGACTCAGTGACTATTGATTATATCCGTGATTCTTCCATTTAGAGGCAGTTTGTTTATGGAACTAACAGGGGGCGCTGCAGGGGTAAAAAGCAAGGGAAGGACTCTCACGACAGGAGGTAGGAAAGGGGAACCAGCGTGATGCCCAGACCACAGGCACACTCACGAACGGCCCCTGTCTGTGGTGGAGTAGTCTGCTCTGGTCACACGGGATCATTAATTTAGAAAACAGAGCCTCACCTGGTCTTTGCCTCTTGTTTCCAAGCAACAGCTTTGTAAACTACATTTATAGTAAGTTTTGTCCCCCTCTGCTGGAATAAGTCATTATTACCGACTACTTCCTTTCTATTCACAGATTGTAGACTTTTAGTGCTAAAAAGACCTTCGAGATCACAGATCTAAGCCTTTGGTGTTGTCACTCGTTTGGCATGAAGTTAGCACAAATATGACAAAACCTTTTGCTTCTACACATAGCCCATTGTCTAAAATAACTCCTTCGGTTGTTTTGGCCTTTGTCTTTGACCGATGGACTCTCTATAAAGTGTGGAATACAGCCTCGCCAAGGGCTTTGGTGTGCATGTGGCTTTCCTGCCAAGGAGACCCATGGGGCAATTATTGAAATGCAGTTTAGTTTCCTATACTCTTCAAGTTCCAATTAATGACACATAATGCCTTCCCCTGACCCCTGACACTTTTAGTGTCACCGCAAAGGGTGCCTCACCTTTATTGCCCACATTTCTATATACTTTTGAGCGCTTTTCCTGTGTTAGCGCAGCCCTGGGAGCCGAGGCGTGGACTCCGTCGTGGCAGGTCCACGGGGCATTGGCTGTGGGTTTGGTGTTGCCACCACGTACCTAAGGTAGGACTTCCGCATCCACCAATGTGAGAGCTGGGCTTTTTCAAAGACCTCTTTCTCCTTTCTCTTTGTGCCCGCATTACTTCTTTCGGCCACTCCTTTCTAGAACTTCTCTATCTCCTTGCCTTCTATTACATTAGACTTCACAAATTCTTTTATTTCTTTGAAAGTCACTTATTTATTTCCCTCGCCTCTTCCTCTGAGCCCCAAACTATTAGATGTTACCCAACATTTTGTCCACAGACTCTGTTTCCATCTTTAAAAATATCTCAGGACCCCTTCACGTCATCTTCTGTACAGATGCTCTCCAAGTCCTATCTCCAGCCTGAAATCTCCCCCAAGCTGTCATCCTCTGTGTCCAGTGACACCAAGCTCTCCTCCTTTGGAGCGTTTCCTGCTATCTCAATCTGAAGCATGTCTGAAGTGAAACTTGTCTTTTTATCTCCTCAGGTTAGCATTCTTTCGTGACGAATGTGCCTTCCACTGTTCAGGATGCCTGCCTATAAGTCATTCAAGTTATCACTGGCTGCTCTCCCTCCTTTGCCTCTTGCGTCTATATTTGGCTTCCAGATCCTTCTGCCTCTTCTTTAGAATTGTTCATTACTTCCCAATTGGTCTCTTTGTGTCCTGTCTGCTTGGATTTTGGAAATCTGCCTCTTTAGAAACGCTTAGTGGTTTTCTGCTCTAGAAACTGGCACTTGGTGTTGGGCAGCCTTCTCTCTCTCCCCACATTCTGACCCTTCTAGGGCAGCTGATGTGCTCTCTTCCCAGCTTTCAGGTGTTCTCTGGCCCCTGACACAGTCTTAGGACATTCTCTGTGTAGCTGCCCTTTTGCATTTATTTCCAAGTTCTTCCTGTCCTGCGAATCCCGGCCTCAGTCTCCATTTCTCGATAAAGAATATCTCGCCTACTATATATAGATATATATATATCTCGCCCAATATATCGTGCCACTGTCTCCATCTAATCCACTGCATAGCACATGATCATGCTACTGTGATGGTGGCCAGGTATTGTCTTGCAGTGTCTTTTGTATCATGGTCTAGATATTTGGTCCCATAATCTTCTTTCATCTTTCGCAAGTATCTGCCTTTTCTGCCAACTCTAGGTATAAACAGCCCTGTGCACACTGTTGATGTTTTAGAGATGCTTGTTCAGTTAGATTGGTGGGGTGGCAAGCACCATCTCGGGTCGGAAGTTGGCACTCACAATCTTGCCGGCCCTCACAATCCCCTTTTACAGTCCCGGGACTTCAGATTGACTCTCTCACTTGGGTGTGTCTGTGTGTTTTAGTTGCAGATCCCTAGCGTGAAGGGCTTTGATTTTGCGAAGCAGCATCTGGGTCAGCACAATAAAGACGACATACTGATTATTCATGAGCCAGCACCACTGCCGGGACCTGTCAAGGATCACACCACACCCTCTGAAAACGGAGATGTGCCCAGCCCCAAGGCAAAGATCCCTTCCAAGAACGTCCGACACCGAGGAAGGTTCTTATTGGGCTTTCTGTATTGTTCTCTATCTCAGAGCATGTTTCCGTTTTCAGTTTGTCAGGTTCCAGTGTCAAAAGAGCTGATGGTGAGTATTCCCTGGGTCTGGAACTCCAGGAGACTGGCGCCAGCTTGCCCAAAGTTAATGAACCCAAGCGCTCTTGATCCACTCCGGTGGACTGCCATAGGAGTCCAGGCGCTTTTCTCAAGTATTTAGCGTTATAAATCGCTGCCTCTCATGGTTTGGTGGTCCCCCTGAGACTTGGTGAGGTATTGACTAGCTCAAGTGTGTGTATTCTGGGGTGGGTCATTCTAGGCCCTCAGGACATGATATCAGAAGTCATAGATAAAACAAGCCTGACACATAATACACACTCAGTCCATATTGGTTTTGCCCTTGACATTATGCCAGAGGCTGGCTATGACTTGGTAGCTTTGTCTGCAGGTGACTTTCATCGCATCCTCCTTTCTTCGCCTGGCTTTTCGCCAGCCGTCTCTGTTGTCTCTCTCGTTAGCGTGTTTCCATGGGCTCCACACCACCTCCCCCCTGCCCAGCTCCCCATTCCCAGTGTATTTCCATTCTTCTATCAAAGCAAAGCGCACGGAGGACTGCCTGTTAACACACCGCCTGGAAGTCCCCCTTTTCACCCTCTGATCCTGTGAGAAGGGCTGGAGCTTGGTCAAAGATCAGGATCAGGTTTTATGCAGTTGACTGTAGAACTCAGCCTGGTCACGCCACGGTATGGAAGCTTCAAATTATCAGCCCTCCTTGAAGCTTTGAACTCCAAATCTTGATCTCCTGCTAAGAGGGGGAGAAAAACGTGTGATCATACCAACACTTGAAACGATGTCACAATTTCTGACTTATCAGAAAACCTACCCCGGGGGTTCTGGCCTAGTTTTAAGAATTTAATGGATGTTACAACGTGATCTTTACAAAAGAAAGCGAATTATGTAGAGAGATGTTACTTGCTTAATTATCTTGCAGGCTAAGAATAAATCAAATCATTAAAGATCGTCAAAAACGTTAGTATAATCTTGCCAAGTTTTTTTCCCCCCCTCCCCTGGTAGTCCCATTCTAGACATTAGTCACAACAGTTCAGTGGTCTGCGGTTAAGGTAGTATTTTAGCATCCCTTAGGGACACACAGAGAAGGTCTACTAACTGGTTAAGGATTTTCATTAGCCTGGTGCAGCCTGGGTTCTCTGACATCCTTGCTCTTATATGTAGAATCAAATCTCAGGAGTGATTGTTGCTTTTGTGTTATAAGTGTTGGCTTCTGCCGAAGCTGTGGGGTTCTTTGGGGTGTCTTCAGGACCACCCTGGGTTCCTAGGAATTCTGTAGTCTCAGTTGACCTGGAACCGGGCCTTAACCCCAGATCTTCTGATACAGTCTCTGCTGGACCCACACTGCCAGGCCAGGGCCCTGGTAGCCGAGGGACCATCCTCCAGTGTGGCACTCAGTTTCCTGGTATTTGCTGAAACACAGCCTGCTGAACCATATAAGCCCTGTTATACTGTCTTCACGAGGGGACTATGTGCTGTGAGTGTGTGTTCCTTGTAGATGATTTTTTGGACGGTCCCATTTCTGTCTGTTTTGCCTCGAAGGCTGCCTTCCACACCTAAGTTAATGTGACCTTCTCCTCCCCTCCCCTCCCCTCCCTTTCTTTCTTTTTCCTAATGCTTGTGTTTGTTTTGTGTCTGTAGAGTTTCTCCATCAGATGCTGACTCTACCGTAAGTGAGGAGTCCAGTGAGAGGGATGCAGGAGACAAGACACCGGGAACGGCAAACGATGGCCCGCCCCACAGAGCCCCACAGAGCGGTCAGTGATTCTTCCCGTTCTCCACGTTAACTGTAGTAATGGAGAGTCCAGTAGGATAAGGTTTTACGGTATTTCACATGCTAAACATTTAACAAAAAAATCTGCAGTGGAATATTTGTTATCCATATGGTGAGTTTCTCAGCATCAGCCGTCACTGTCTGATGTGGTTCTGGTGTCTGGATTGAGGCGGGGGACTGTGCTAGAGGTTAGGGATTCACTCAAGTACGTTTGGAAGTTCATAGCCATGTTCCATTCTAGTGGAGAGTCCTAATGGTTTGCCTCCCCCAAGAACAAGGAGGAAATCAAACTACAACCAGACTCGCAAACACTACCTCCAGGATTTAGTGACCTTCTTAGGATCCAATTCCAGTATTTCCCAGCTGCCACTGCCAGAAAGTCGTTTATGTATCATGGGTCCAAATGCATTATATTTGGTTCTGTTCCTAGATCATCCTTCCTATAGGTCATTCGGTGCAATCGGGTGGCGTAGCATATTTGAATCTGTAGTCTGTGGTTTTTTAGGCCAGGTATGAAACGGACTTCGTGTCCGTCCCAAAGACATGAACGTGGAGCTCTTGCTCCATGACAAAACTAAGCCCACAGGTCTAACTAGACTTAGGAGCATTTCTTGGTGTGATGGCAAGGTAGCTTGGCTTTAGTTTAAGAGATTCTGTTAAGTAAATGTGCTAGTACAGCTGTTGTATTTGCTGGAGTTTTATTTATATTTCAGGGCCATTTCAGTAATGCAAAGAAAATTGGAATGCCCCACGATACTGTTTTTAATAGTAATTTTTATACTTCAACATTTGCCGTCATAAATTTCTTTGTTTCAAAATGCAGTACCAAGTGAACCATATTCTATAAATGAACAGATTCTAGATGGAAGCTAGAGGGCCTGATCTATCATTGCCATGCTGGTGACCTTGCAAGTCCCGTAGCCTTTGGGGCTTCTGTAGGACTAAACTAGCTCATTTTTGAGATTCCTTCCAGCTCTTTTTTGATGTTAAAGAAAACTCCCTTAGAATAAAGGAAGAGTTTTTTCTTTGGATCCAGTTTCACAGAATTGTAAAACTTATTTAAGCACCATGGTAACAGGTGCTCTCTTTCAGACAGACAGAACTAAAATCTAATTTTGATTCTGGGAAGGAAATATTTGAGAGGGAAAAAGAAAAAAAAAGAATCAGTTCTGGAGTTTCTCAGTTTCTGTTCATTGCTTATCTGAGAAAATCTTGCTTTTAGTTCCTGCATTTAACTCCTTACTGACAGTATTAAAACCAGTATCTTCTGTGTGGCTAACAAAAATCAAATATCACTATCAACACATACTCAAAATCCAACTAGTAAGCATGTCAGGTGTGGGACTGAGTTGTCCGCGGAAGGAGGCAAGTACACTAGATGTTGTGAGTTCTGGAAGCTAAGATGTCACCATTATGATTTGAAGAGACGCCACAATCTGTACATTATTTTCATATTTTAGAAAGATGATTTTCTCACTACAAATATCACTTCGCTTGAAAGATCTTGTTTACTTCTTTAAAGCTACCATGAAGGTATTTTTTTGCTTGCATAGAACTTAAATACCCTATAGAAAAGATTGAGAGTTTAAAAAAAAAATTAATTTATTTTTAAATTTACATCCAAGTTAGCATGTAGTGCAACAGTGATTTCAGGAGTAGATTCCTTAATGCCCCTTACCCATTTACCCCATTCCCCCTCCCACAGCCTCTCCAGCAACTGTCAGTTTGTTGTCTGTATTTTTTTTTTATTTTTTTTTTAACGTTTATTTATTTTTGAGACAGAGAGAGACACAGCATGAACGGGGGAGGGGCAGAGAGAGAGGGAGACACAGAATCGGAAGCAGGCTCCAGGCTCTGAGCCATCAGCCCAGAGCCCGACGCAGGGCTCGAACTCGCGGACCGCGAGATCGTGACCCGAGCTGAAGTCGGACGCTCAACCGACTGAGCCACCCAGGCGCCCCTGTTCTCTGTATTTAAGAGTCTCTTATGTTTTGTCCCCCTCCCTATTTTTATAT